AAAAGGTTATGGAGGCCAGCGGAAGGCGGCCCCCTCTCCCCCCAGCCAGTGGCCCAACCTATTTACCCAGACGTCCCACCACCTTTTCTCCGCATTTGTCGCGCCGCCCGCTGCAGAGCGCCAGCTCCCAGGAACCATCAGAGTATGCGAACACGGAAAGTTTTTGCCCGCGCCATGGCGCACAACACAAGACAGCCCATTCCCCAGTACAAGTACACAGTCGGCGGGTAATTTGGGGGCGCCAGGAATGGGAACTGGGGGACACTTGAGCATATCATGCACAGGCGAACACAATATAGACACCAACACACACCAACGACAAGCTGTCTGAGTCCAAGCAGCAGTGCCAGGCGAGGCGGGGCGCTCCTTTCCCAACGACCCCAGCCCACCACGGCCCCAACCAGCCTAGCCTGGGGGACCCCCCGAGACCCCACCCCAGCAGTTCCTGGCTCACCTGAAGCCCCCGCCTTCCTTGCCGGCCCCCACCCCAGGACTCGGGGGCGTCTTACGGTCGCTGGCGCTGGCTTGTCCAGCTGGAAACGACCCTCAGTGTTGTACGGCACCACTTTTCTCCCTGAAGGGCACATACTTCGGCCACCCAAGCCCACCCGAGCCCACCCCCCTCCCGGGGCAAAGTGAGGGGCCCCTCACTGGAACTTTCTAGCAGGCTATTCCCGCCTTAGCCCAGACCCCCTCCTCCCGCCGCCAGGCCCCGAGCCCCACCGGGCAGCCCTGCCACCCCCTCCCGGGTTCCCGAGCGGCCCTGCTGCCCGCAGGCAGAGTCCGCCACATTACCTAGAAGCAGCAGGCGGTGCGTACACATGTAACCCATCTTTTCGTCCTGTAGTTGCTTGTCGATGAGCTTGCTGCGTTTCTTCTCTGCGCGCTTCTGAGCGCGCTGCTCCAGGGCTTCCTTGCGCATCTGTCTGCGCTTCTCTGCCAGAGGAATCTTCTTGACCTTGGGGCTGCGCGGGGCTTTGGGCTCGGCGCTCTCAGATCGGCCGAAGCAGCCCCCGAAGGCTTGCATGAGGAAGTTGCGGAGCAAGTTGCGCCGGGGCTTTCGGCGGCGGCGATTTCTCCGGGGCTGCACGCAGCGATGGCATCCGAAGGTCCCATCGTCGGAGTCATCGCTGCTGCGGTCGTCGCTGCTGACCGACCCCTCGTCGTCGTCGCGGCCGCGGCTGCGCTCAGACCTGCCCCGCCAGGCATACGCGCGAGGAGGCTGCGGAGTAGGCGGATCGGCAGCCTGGATCTCGGGGCTGGGGGGTCTAAGGAAACGGAGCTTGGGGCGGGCTCCGGAGGCAGGGGCGGCAGAGGCTGCCCGGGCACCAGGAGCGGCAGGGGCGGCAGGGGCTGCCCCGGCGGCTGGAGCGTCAGGGGCGGCTGGAGCGGCTGGGGCAGCAGGGGCTGCCCCGGCGTCTGGAGCAGCAGGGGCGGCTGGAGCGGTCCCGGCGGCAGGAGCTCCGTCGCCCGGAGAGGGGACTTTGCCTCCTTCCGCGGCAGCAGTGCTTGAGCTTCCTTCCATCTCGGCTGCTTCTCCCTCAACTGGGGGTCTCTCTCCCTCTGCTCGCTCTCTCTTAACTGGGGCTCGGGAGACCTCGATGGGCGGGCCATCAAGCGCGATTGGGGGGCTGTCCATGTTGACGGGAGCGTCGTCGACCCCAACGGGGGCGCTACCAATCTCGAGCGGGGGTCCGGGGATCTCCATCGGGGGGCTGTCGCCAGCGAAGTATGGAGGAAGTCTGACAGCCTCTCGGGATGGGCTGCCGCTGGTGATGGCGCCTGGGACCCGGAGGGGGGGCTCGTTCGTGGCGGCAGCGAGGAGGACCGCACTCGGCACCGCAGCTGGCGTGAGCTGGCTGCTGCTATCACCGTCGATTTGTTGGCTAGCTCGGGGAAGCCCAGGGGCTGGGCTGTCATCCCCAAAGGCTGCTCCATCAAACTCAAATGGCATAGCCTCTTCAGGGGGAGGGCTGCAGCCTCCTCTGAAGCCTGCATTCGCAGGCCTGAGGACTTGGGGCTCCTCAGAAGGGGTGCTGTGGACCCCCGCACCTGGGCCTCCTGGAGCGAGGTCTGAGACCTGCAGGAGAGGTTGGCAGCAATCTCCCTGGGCAGGCTGCTCAATCTCAAAGGGCATGGCTTCTTCGGGTGGAGGGCTGTAGCTTCCCAGGCCTGGCCTGGCCTCACCGAAGGCTCTGGGCTCCACGAGGGCTGAGCTGAAAGCCTGGAGGCCTGCCTGGGCCCCACTGGTGTCTCCAGGCTGCTCCAGGGGAGGCCAGAAGCTTCCCAGGCTGGGCTGCTTGACCTCGAAGGGCATGGCTTCCTCAGGAGGTGGGTTGTAGCCTCCATGGGCTCCCGCTTCCTCGATGGCCTGGCCGAGGCCTTGGAGGTTGGGCCTGGAGACCTCTGGGGGTTCACGGGCCTCTCCTTCAACCTCGATGGAGATGGGCTCGCTGTTAGGCGGTTTGGTCTCCACCTCTTCGGCTGCGCTAGGCCCAGCACTGGGGGCAGCTGCCCCTGAGGCCTCCAAAGATGGTTGCTCGGACTGTTCCCCGAGTTCAAGGGGGATATCGCGTTGTCCTGACATATTATTGCCGTCGAGGCAGTTGCGCACGCCCATAACACGGTGGCGAACTCTTAAAATAAACTTGGGGCCCCGTAAGACGGAGCACCCAACCAAACTAGGGTGAAAAAAATATCTTCAGAAAAAAAAAAATCAAAGTACCAGCTAGAAAGTTCTCCAACCTCACTTTCCAACCCTCGTGAGGTCTGGGGGTTCAGGGCCTCAAACCTTAGACGGTGGCAGAAGCAACTCTATTGTTGCTGGTGGAGCCCTGGCTCCTTCTTGGCCACTTTTTATCCCCTCAGGCTGCCCCTGGCCCCCCTTTGGCCTGCCCTTGTCCCCTCCTCTCTCTCTTTCTCTCTTTGTGTTCCAGGCCAGCCCCGCCTGCTTGGATCCGAGGAGCGTGTCGATTCGGTCCGAAAATCGCTCGTAGTGCTCTCTCTCTGCCACCAGGGGACGCCGGCTCGGTGGCCAGGCGGCTTTGGGAGCCAGTTCCCGGCGCCGGGAGCCCCGGACTTTGGGTAAGGGGGCTGATGAGCTCAGGCCTCGCAGGGATGTTTGGGCTCTTTCCACTGCTCGCCCTGGCTGATTTGGAGTCTTTCTCCTCTCTTCTCCCCTGGCCAGAGAGAGCGCTCTCCTGCGTTGCCGGGACACGTGACGCAAGACGTGGGCCCCAGGCTGCATGAGCGCAGGAGCTGAAATCCTCCCTCCCAGACCCAACTGACTCTCCTTGGGGGGAGGGGGGAACAGCATGATGTTTTCATCACCCCAAATTACCCCTGAGCCCCTGAGCCGCGGCCCCCAGCTCTGGGCAGCCTTTGATCCTGAGCCCCAAGTCCAGAGCGCAAGGCTTCGGGCGCGGGCATGCGCAAGGATGCGACAGGTGGTCGTGAGCCCACTGGCAGAGCGGACTGGGGGCGAGGGGCGAGGTGATGCTAAATGTGCGCACACAATTTGTTTTTTAAATGCCTTAGGGTACTTTCCACCGCTTTTGCAGCTTCTGTTTTCCGGCTTGCCGAGGGTGGCTCCTGTAAAAGCACTTCAATGTCCCCCATCCCCACCACGCTCTGGGGGGGGGGTCTTCGCAGGAGATTTGGGTGGCGCAGGCTGGGTTCTCCCCGTTTACGTAAACGAAGATTCAGGGAAATAAAGGGTCTCGGGCACATACCTCGGAGACCCTCTAATTGGTAGTTACCACGACACCGAACGGGGGTCGCGGGACGTGCATGGGGACCCCACAGAGTGCAGGCCTCAGGGTTCCGGGGCTCCTGCTGCTCTGGGGAAGGGTAAAAGGTGATTTCAGTTGGGTTTTATGGCCGATTTAGGGTGGTCTCAGAGACTGGTCAACCCTTTGCACACTGAACCCAAAGACACACATCGTGCGGTGCAGCGCCGGCAACCGCGGCAGCGGTCCTCTGCTTCCTGACTCGGGCGCCGGCTGCAGGTCGATCAGTTCGTTCCTTCCTTTAGCTCCTCTCCAGCCCCCTTCCAGCCCCTCTTCTCTCGCTATGAGTCTCCTGGGGCAGCCGCTTTACTTTCCAACTGCTATAGCCCGCAGAGGCGGCACTAAGCTCGGCTAGAAACCCAGCGGCCGCCCGGCTGCGCTCCCGTCTCCGTAGCGCGCGGTGGGCTCGGAGCTGGTGGGGGTAAATACCCATACTACCTGGGTGGGCTTGGCGCCTGTGCGCGCACTGCTCTGGCTCTGGGGTCTGCAGCGGGATTTGAGCCCTAGGAAACATTTTCTGCTTGCGGATCACGTAAAACCCGGGACATGGGTATCAGGTCTGTCTCGCCAGCAGGTGACACAGACCTGAGAGCCACCTTTAGGTGCAAGGCAGCCGGGCAGGGGGCAAGCGGACACCTGGCCTGCGGGCGGGGAGGTACGGCGGGATGAGCGTCACAGTGGGTGGGCTGCGGCAAGCGAGGCACACCGCCTGGATCGCTGTATCTACGAGCCGCAGGCGGGTGAACCACGCACGATCCACTCTCATTAAGTCTAACGCATCTCTTCTAGAACGAGACCACATCCACGGCGCAGCACTGCCCCCGCATCTGTCAACCGCGTTGCCGCGCTGCGCAGAGAAAAGCTGATAAAGTCGGACCCGGGTAACGTTTGAGGTCCCTCAAAGGTGTATCACCTCAGCTCTGTGGATCTACACACTTCCAAATGCCAACACTGAACTTTGGTTCAAACTTTGGCCAACTATACCCACGCGCAATGGCTCAACCCTTTGGGCATCCGCTGAATGGGCCAACCGGGTCGCCTCAGTCAATTCACTCCCCTCGGACCCCTGCACTGGGTCAACCATTGGGCTGGGGTCATGCCAATCAAGGCTGCCTGGCGAATGAGCAGGGGGCGTCGAACCGGAAACCGGATACGAGTGGGAGGTCCAATAGGGGGCGCCGAGTTGGAACGCCCTAAGAGGTGGTGCTGCTGGGGTGGTTGGAAGCGGTTGGTGGGCCGGCGTATGGCGGCCAAGCCTGAGACGCCACGAGGCCGGCTGACGCCGTGGGGTCACTCTTCCTGACTCCCAAACTCACAGAGGCTGGAAGGGATGGTCGAGGGCTCTTAGGGGCCAACCCTTGGTCTCACTGATGGCGGTGGGCAAGCCACCCAGTACCGGGGACTGCCGCTGGGGCAAGGAGGACTTCCAGGGCCTGGCGAGAGAGGGCCGGGACCCTGAAGAAAGGGAGGGCTTACTGCTCCGATGCAGACGAGCAGCCCCAGATGGATAAGGAGTTGAGGCCCAGGGATGCTGAGCTCTGCCGAAGTGGAAGGTCAGTAGACGCTGGGGTTGGAGCCCCAGGGAGGCGTGATGGGCGCCAGCCTGGCCACGCGCTTGGCTCGCTTCACTTGGGCTCTTTCGCAAAGCACTCTTCATCCATGAATGGGTACCGGGTCTCTTTGTTTGACATCCTCGTGGGCCTGTGGGACCCCTCTGCCCAACACTGGTATCTTGGTTCTTTGCCAGGAGAACACATGCACTGAGGGGGGTAAAGATTGGGCAGAGAGAGAGCAACCCCCCATTCTCAAAGGGAAGCACCATAGAAATGAAAGGAAAGACCTCCAGTTGGGGGGGGACGACGACCTTGAAAGTCTTGACGGAGAAAATGGGATTTCACGTGGGCCTCCGTGGAGGGACAGTGGGCTTGGCTGTGAATAGAAGGTGTTGGCCTACCACGGAGAGAGGTGCTAGGAAACATGGCGCATCGCTGGGTGAAGAGAACAGGGAACCGCGCGGGGTCTTGGAGGAGCCGTGGGAGAGAAGGCATGAAAAACTGGATAGGATTTCTCCAAGGATACCAAGATGTCTCGGGACAACAGGTTTTGAGGCTACTTAGGTTGGAAATGGAGGTGTTGATGGTTTTTTCAGCAAGTGAGAATTTGAGGCTAGTTTTAGGAGAGTTAAGGCACTATGGAGGATAGTTGGCTGGTCATGACCTTTAAGGGAGGGAGACCCACACATGGTAAAGGAAGCAGGAAGGCTCAAGAGAGGGACTCGAGGGATCCCAAAGAACCCTCTAGCAACTTCTGTGCCAAAATGGCACAACAGATGGAGGAGACAAAATTTGGCACCTGGATGATGGGACACGTGTGGGAGGATCTGGGGAGGAATTGGCACGGTGGTGGCGCCAATTTGGTTTTAGACATGGCAGACGTGCAGGAAGGATGGGCAGTCTGGATGGAGATCTTTACCACCGATTTATTTAGGATGGGTCTGAAGTTTAGAAGAAAGGTTACAATCCCAAATTCAAAGTGACAGCCATCCTCATTAAGGTATGAGAAATCACTGGATGAGAAACACCCTCAAGGGGAGAAATAGATTTGGTGACAGAATCCTGAACACTTGGGAGTACTAGAGAGGACAAAGGGGGACATTACAGGAGGGAGCAGTGAGGCTAGGAAGAGACCCGTGGGCTTAGACCAGAGGGAAGAATTTAAGAACTGGTCAGCATATCTAATCTTGGTGCAGTGTTCTTAGCCTCTGCACTGTTGACATTTGGGGACAGGTAATTGTTTAGTGTGACTGTCCTGTGCATTGTAGGATGTTTAGCAGCATCCCTAGCTTCTACCCACTAGATGCCAGTAGCATCCCCTTAGTTGTAGCAACCAAAAATGTCGCTAGACTTTGTTATATGTCCTCTGGGGGGCAAAATTGCCCCCCAGTTGAAACCACTGCTATAGACTGAGAAAGGACCTTTAGACTTGAGTAGGAATCACCTTAATTTAAAGGTGAGTTAGGACCAGGAAGAAAAAATTCCAATATTTAATTCTGATGTTCCCTCTTTTGTCTACTTTTATTTTTCTGCAGTGACTGGCCACCCGAATCTGAAAATCCCAAATCACTTGGGTGAGTGAAACTCCACTGCAGATCAGCAGCGCAACTCGAGAGACCCCATAAGCGTGGCCAGATATTTGAGGAGCCGACTAACCAGAAAGGCAGCTGGGTGTCCTGGCCACAAGGACCCAAGGAATGTGGCATGGTAAGAGCTGGGGCTGATCAGCTGGTGCCTTGATGGGGGGCCACTCTGATTGGTGGGACTATCTGGTGAGTCCACTCAGGGTTGGTGATCTTGTTGGCTTAAGACAGAACGTGGCCTTGCCTGGGATGGAGATGGCTGGGGATGAGGGGCAGTGGGCAGCCTAGTCTGGGTCTAACCCCACCAGGGGCATCGTTTTTAGGATCTGCCATTGTAATTTTAAAATAGCAAAGTATGTGAAGCATCGATTTCCAATTCTGGGTGGTTTTCTATCGGGGAAAGAGGTAACTATCTGATAGGAATGAGAAGGAACAGGAAGGAAAGTCAGTTAATGGGTTGACGCAGTTCAGGAAGAGGATGGCAAGAAAGGCTAGTCAGGGTGCCTGCGAGGGGGCTGAGCTGGGTGGAGGTCAGGCTGCACGCCGGCGCCTGGGCCCTGGCCCTACACGGGGTGTGAGAGAGGGAAGGGCTGCAGTGAGATGCTGTGGTCATTAGAGAAGGGGACTGGCTGTCAAAATCCAGGTGAGGGTTTGCTGATTTCCAGCTACTGGAAAAGCAGCAGTTTGCTACACTTGATGAATTAAGACTGCAATGGGAAACGCTACCATGTGTCAGCTCAACTCTGCGTGTCTGAGGCAGGCTGCTCAGACCAAATGGCCCAGCTGCCACAGGCAGATCAGCTGGCTTTCTGTAAATAGGTAACCCCAAATGGAAAGAAGGTATTCCTTCACTGCTGACTCTGAACAGCAGCACCCCTGCCACCTGCAGAGATGTGGCCTCCTTCCTTGGTGGCCCCATGTGGCGCCCTGGGCTGCCCACTAATTGACGCCTCCATGCCAGCACACTTAATCAGCAAACAATGGTTAGTATACTTACATTTGGGAATTCTTACTGCCAGACACACAAGGCACATCTAGATTTTAAGTAGCTGCCTGTCAAACTTGTTCCTTAGTTCATCCCTGTATCCAAGAAAGACAAAGCAAAGTAGACTAGAAGAGGGTCCTTTGAGAGGGAGGTGGGGTGGGCAAGAGGGAGGGAGCAGTAACCAGGAAAAGTGAGTTTTGGGGGCGTTTCCTCCTAGCTGTGGCGCTGGGGAGAGGGAGGGTTTGCAGAAAAGCCTTTTCTGCAGCCCACTGGTGACACTAGTTGTCAGTGGGTGAAATGAGGAAAAGGAGAATCTTTTCACCAGTTGTGAGGAAAAGGCAAAAGGAGAGAACATAGGAGAGGCTTCAGATAACTGTCACGTTCCCCAGCCTCCTGGAGACAAATGTTTTCTGAGTGCTGACTGAGTAGCAATGAGACTTTGAAGCTGTGCAATTAATTACTGTTCAGCTGAGACTCGCTGTGCCCATCCTTTTGCCTTCCAGCATCGCCTCTGCCAGCCTTGGCCAGTGGAGGCAGCAGCAGCAGCACACTGCTGCCTGCAGAAGGGTCTGCGTGACCAGGCTGTTTCAGACAAATGCCCCTGAAGGGAAAATGCCTCGAATGGATGAGGGTTAGGAGCAGGTGCAGCGCGGCCATTCAAGAGGGTGGAATCCAGACTTAGGAAAATAGGTGATCTGTTCCAATTCAAAAGCCCCCTGCTGGAGGCCAGGGGCCCCCCACCGTGAATCAGACCCTTCACTGGGCTTGCTAGCTGTACTCAGCCCTCATCCTGGAAGGGCTACCCCCAGTTCTGCTGCAGCCAGGCCCGAGACTGTTATCTGACCACCCGAGCTTGTTTGGTGGGAGCAGACAGTGTCCACAGTCGCCAGAACTGGGCTGTGGAGTCCTTCTCCAGGCTCATTGGTGATGCAGCAGAGAATTTCAAGGGGAGAAGTGGCCATTCCAGAAAAGATGAACAGCTCCACAGGAAGGGGGGGCGACTAAGGGGCAAAAGTGGGGGCTGGGATGTGGGGGGAGGAAATCCGGGAAGATAGATTTGGCTTTAGTGGAAGCTCTGTTTAAAATTTTGGGAATTCACGGTGGAAATGCAGGCACCCTGGGGGCTTCTGAGCAACGCAATTTGCCTTTAAGGGGAATGGTATATTTCACCTTCTCGCACAACCTCAATTACCCAGAGTGAATTTTCCTAATGAAATCTAATTGTGACAGCTACATAAGCCAGGGCACTCAGAAACCGGCTCTTGCCTGAGGGCGGGGTGGGGGGGTCCTGTTTTCTTCAGCTGGCTGGCAATCTTTAGCCTCTACACCTCCGCCTCTCACACCCTGAACCCTAACCCAAGACTCAGGATTTGAACTAGAACACAAGATCGAGGTTTTAAATCTTTCTGTTTGGTTGAAGCAATTGAGGCACCTGTGTGACAATTCCACTGCACCTGTGAAACTGAAATTTCCGGGCCAGCCTGCAAGGGACTCGCAGAGGGAAGCAGTCCCCCACCAGTGGCCTCCCACAGTCAGCCTGGGCCATTAAAAATGCTGATACTGAGCTGACGTTGCCCCTGCCACCACCAGATATTTGAAGACTGCCACAGAGTCCCCCCAAACCCTTTTCTCTCAGAATCTGTATTTCTTCCAACTCCTCTTCATAGCCCTTGTGACTCCCGTCTCCAGCTCCGACCTTCGTTCCGTCCTCGTGTTCTCGTTTCCCTGTATTCTCTAGTTTTTTCTTGTGATGCCCCCAGGACCTTCTTTTCCTTTTATCATCCTCAAATCTTCCCCACATCGCAGCCACTGCCAGCCCTGTCCACACGGCCCAGTCTTCTTTGCCCACCGCTAACTTGTAACGTGTTCGCCCTAAAACACGCCTGTAGAATACAAACAGGCTGTGGCCACATACACAGCCAGGAAGGAGCCTCCTCAGTTCTACCCTGGAATAGGGAGCTGGGGGATGAGTGCGGGGTGCCGTGGCGCCTCTCCCATGCCCTGCTGCTACTGGCTGAGTGCTGTCAACAGGTGACAGTGGCCCTGCACTGTGGACTCTTGGCCGGGGGAGAACTAAGTCACTAGGCTGTTTCCTCTGGCTTTTCTGCCTTGTGAGTTAACTAAGCACTAGTGCCAGCATCCCTACTAGGGGCTGTGGGAAAAACAAACAAACAAACAACTGGGATTTCAAAAAGGGAAAACAATCATCAGTAAAATTCACCTTCTCCATAGCCTTGTGTATGTGGCCGAAAAAACAAGGGTAAATATAAAACAAAAATGAGATGTTAAATCACTTAATTGGACATAAACCAGATTTGTTTGTTTTCTTTTGGTAAACATTTGCTGTGCTAATCCATACATTTACAACAGGAGCACAATTGGTTTGAGGGAGTGCATGAAAATCTCAGACCTGCAGAACAGAAACAGATGATACAGTGGATGTATGTATCTGGTATTCACATTTCAGGGGAGAGGAGCAATTAAGAAAAAAATGTCTGAAAAGCTCCTGGGAGGGAGTGAGAGTGAAAACAAAAGGTGGAGGAAATTAGTTTATCCTAACTAGCTGCAGCTGCTGAGCCATTTTCTCAGGCCTACCCAAGTCAGGACACTTAAACGTATTACCGAATAGCATATTCAACACTTGTGGTGAGTTAACACTTGCTGGCAGCGGGTGGTCAGTGGCTGTCCTCCGGCTGCTGCCTCCCTCCCAGAGCCTCGGCATCTCCAGGCTGCAGACTCAGTGATTGCAATGCTGGCTGCGTGCCACCTGCCCCCACTCTGAAAAGCTGGGTCTCAGACACTCAGATCAGGGACAGCAGGTGGGGGGAGACAAAGCGCACTGAAGAGCAGCACTAAACGCCTGCTTTCAGGGGCGGCCCTGTGTTCTCTTAGGTTAGTAACAGGACACAGTGCAGTTGTGCATTTAACTTGCCTCTTTAAACCATTTGTTGCCACCAATTCAAAACCAGACTTGACAAAATCAAATTAGATCCAACACAAAGTAAGATTTCCCCACAACTGGTGCTTTTGATTTGATCAACCTTTGGAAATTCTTTTGGCTCCATTAGTGTTCAAATTATTGATAGAGTCAAACTGGGCAACGCTGGGCTTCTTAAACCAATCAAACTGCTTGCATTTGGAGCTGAAAGGGACGCTGGGAACATCTCATTCAGCTACAGCTACTTCATTTTCCATGTGAAGAAACTGAGGCAGAGGGGTGCTGTGTCTGATGGAAGGCCGCGACCTGCCTGTCTCTGGGGCATGAAGATTTAGGAAACAGTCATTAACGTCCAAATCTTGCAGAGTAGGACAAGGAATCTCGTTCTGGAACATGGGATTAAGTATGTAATTGGAGAATCGCATCCCCTTTTCCTAAGAGAAAGGGCAGCTCTTGAGCTGGCATGTGATGTCACTGGCCTCTGAAAGCTTCAGTTTATTTCAGTGACTTGTTTTTTGTAATAGATCACTTTTCTGTTAAAAGACATACTTTTCCCAGCACCATGGTTTCTGCTCAGTTTCCTCTTAATAGCGTCCCTTTGCGTGGAGAACAGTCATGATACAGATCAATTAAGTAAAATCCATGGAGATTATTTTAAAAAGGCCTAATTCTTACCAACACTTAAGTTTCAGCTTTCTTCCTCATTAAACCTGTCACAGCTGCTAAAATTGAGGGCTAAAGAGTAAAGGGCTGTAAGCAATTTGGGGGCAGGAAGCTTCTAGTACATTAAAGAAACAGTGTCTTAAAACAATGCCAAACTTTAAAATTCCCAATTCTTGAATTCTGATAAACATAGATTAAAAGTTTGTTAGCCAAAGTTTAGAAGTAAACCTACGCCAGACTGTTGACAGCACACCATATCTGAACATTGCTACATGATTTTCCAACTCAAAAAGTTCAGTAAGAGCACCTTTGTCCAAGAAAAAGCAAATTTCCATTAAGCAAATGATTAATGTAGTAAAGGAAAAAATCCTAAATATTGGAGCATACCATCACGTTCAACTAGCTTTCTCCCCCTCCTCCTCTCTCTCTCCATTTGAAATATTATGACTGGCAGGTAATTCACCCGTGTGGCCAACTACAACAAGGTTTGCTTTTTTGAGAATTTCCTCACCAGACGGACCCCACCTAAGTTGAAAGGACTAGTGAGCCCATTCAAATGCTAACTTCAGCTTAGCAGGGTGAGACAAAGGGCCGGTCGGGAGACCAGTGAGCTGGGAATGCATGGAGAACTTGCCAGAACCGGCTCTGGGAAAGAGAGGCAGCTGAACACCAGTGCCTCAGTTAGAAAGAGGGTTTGAAGCGTCTGTGTAGCAACCCCCCACCCCCCAGGTGGGCTCTGGACACTTTCCCAGGGGTTCGGTGTATCCCCGTTGTTCTGTATGGTCCTAATGGCTTTTCCACCCTGCAGCCAGGATGGAAGGAGGGAAGTTGGGGGAGGGGACCTGAGTGGGGGAGGGGTGGGGTGGGTAACAGGTTTTCACAATCAGTTTATGGAAGAGTCTGGAAGATGACTAACGTTTGTGTGCTTCTAGATGGGAGACCCCCTCCACCCCTGCCAGTAATGAACCTGTGGATTGCTCACAGCTAAGAAAGCCAGCCTCCTCATATGCAGCTTCTGTTTAAAAAGCAGACCAAGACTGGGGTGAGAGGTGTGGGCTAGGCACCGAGGACTTTTTTTCAAACTTGTTTATTCATCCTGCAACAAGGCAACATGCTAATTTCTCTAATAAAGACCCTAGCTCTGCAGGAAAACCGGGGGAAAGCACCCCCCCAAAAAGCCCTGAACCCCCACACTGAAAAGCACGCTCCCAAAAGCCTGGAACCGTGGTGGCTTCACCTGTTCCCAGGAGATGTTTTACTTGGTGAACTCAGGCGACTAAGACGTTGCCAGAGGAAAAACAACACGATGCCAAGGTCCGGGAGAGGACAGCAGCGCCTCTTGGGTAGGAATTTCAGCTTGGGGGCTTTGTTTCTTCCAAGCCAACGGCAGGGCACAAGGGCATCTCTGACCCTCCTGCAAGTCCTCAGCGCCTCCAGACTCCTGACCCTATTACACTGCCCGGGCCAGGCCCTTGCTAACAACCTGCCCATCGGTTTTGACCAGTGGAGACCACAAAGGCATGCAGCAGTCCTGCCCAAGCCAGCGGCGTGTAGCTAAGCTCCGGGGCGCTGCGACGCCTTCCCTGGGGAAGGGACCGTGAGGAAGACAATTTAAAGTGCCTTCCTTCTGGCCCCATCCTTTTCTTAGGAGTCTAAGAACCCGACTGCCTTTTCAAGCCTAGAAACACTTTTTCACCCAAATCATTCTCATCAGAATAGTTCAAACTGGCGCAAAAACGAGACGCACGCGCACTAAGATCAATTTCCAAATCGGAAGAGGTTTTGTAAATACATTTCACTTATCAATCTTTTCCCCCAGGATTGGCGAGAACCGCACACTTTCCGCACCCAACATGCGCTACCGGACTGCGGCCGGTTTTGTGCCCGGACACCAGGCAGTTTCATCTCCAGGTTAGAGATTCCAAACTTAGCTCCACCCGAGCTGAAAATGGCCGGTGCGCGCCACCTTCCCTACCCTCCCCGCCCCGAGGCTGCAGAAGCTGCCGGCCCCTGCCCCCTCTTGACCGACAGCCCAAAGACTTGCGTCGGATCCAAACCCTTTCCCAAGCACGGCGGGGACCGCGCTCTTTGGGGACGCATTGTAGGGTGTCCTGATGCTCAGCGCGGACCCCCTCTCCAGCACACGCCTTGCTCCGCTTTACCTTTCCGCTGGGGCACCTCACCGGCCTCTCAGTCCCTCTCTTCCACTCCCAGGGCCTTGCGCAAACAGCCCGGGACCTTGCCAGCCATGCTGCACCCAGCTCCGTCACCAGACCAGCTGCGCCAAGAGGTTGGCGATACCCCGACGTGACTAAGTCCGTGCTACCAACCGTGGTGGCCCGTAGAGGCGCCCCCGAGACTTTTATACCTCCTCTGCCAGCCCTCCAAGTACAGGTACTCCCGGGGAATTGCCTGCCGCCGCTCCGAGAGGTCGGCTCTAGGGCGCGCGGGCAGGTGCGCACGCTCTTTGCAGCGGTCTCCGGCCCCGCGAGCGCCCGGAACGGGCAGTGGCGGCCAGGGTTGGCACTCAGGATCCCGAGGCTCCAAATTGGCAGCGCCGGGACTTGGACTCCAGGCTCTAAGTGTTTTAAGCGCCCTGCGCGACTTTTCCCGGAGCCAGAGGTCTAGTCTGATTACTTTTCGCACATTGCAACAGTGCCGCTACAGCGCGGCTGCTCTGGCTTTGTGAAAGTTGGCGCGCGCACCTTGGAACCACGTTTCGGGCGCCCGCCAAAGCCCTCTGGTTTGAGACTAGCTTCTCTAAGAGGGGAAAAACCCCCGCAGAAAACAAGTGACTTACCCGTGCCTTTTGAGTGTGCAGCTCGAAACCTGGGGCGCGCCCCGGATTCAGTCGTGCGTCCTGGACACCAGCTCGGAGACCTCAGGCTGTCTCCAGCGGGGCGCGCGCGAGGAGCGCCCCGCCGTCCAACAAGCCTTTGGCCACCGGGGTGCCTCCGGCGCTGTGGGGAGGTTTTGGGAGTCCTTCCCAGCTCACCCTGGCCCCCATTTCGCGGTGGCTGAGCCCGCTCTCTTCCCGCCTTCTCCCTCCCTCCCACCGCTCCCACAACGACCCCAGGCCCCCCAGTTTCCGCTGTGGGCAACCAACCTGAATCAAAGAAAACAAGGAGAATCTGGACGGCGTCCTCCATTAGTGACGCCGGATGGGGATGGGCCCCCTTTTGGAAGGGGACTCCGGGGATGGGTCGCGGCGCGTGGGCTTCTTGGGCTTGCAGCGGCGCTTCTGCTTCTCTTTTGGCTCCTTGGACTCTTCGGGGTCCCTCGGATCCTTGTCCTCGGGCTGCTCCCCCTCTCTGGGGCTCTGGGGCTCCCGAGTGCTGGGTTGCGCGCGACTAGGAGAGGCGTCGGGGCTCCGCAGCCTCAGAGCTTGGAGGCGCTCGGTGAGAGACTGGCCCACGGCGCTGCGCTTGGGCACCACCGGGCCGCGCTCGTCCTCGGGTTCGGTCTCGGGCTCAGTGGTGGGGGCGGTCTCAGGCTCGGTCTCAAAGTCGGTCTCGGACTCGATTTCAGACTCGGTCTCAGATTCGTAGTCGAACTCTTCCTCGTACTCGAGGCACTCGGGGAGGGACAGGTCGAGGTCGGCCTCCTCCTGCTCCTGGTCAGACTCGGGGGGCTCGGGGAACACCTGGGCTGCGGAGCGGTGGTGGGCGTTAAGGAAGCTCCGGCGCTGCTGGGCAGCCGCGCGCTGCTGGGCGCGGGCGTTGGAGGTGGCAAGGGCGCGGAGGAGCGCAATGGAGCAGGAGAGCCAGAGGAGCGCGGTGGCCGCCCGGCGGCCAATGGGTGGGCACAGGTCGTTGTAGTTGTGGCGAGCTCGGCGCCACTGCTGAGCCCGGGACCTGCGATCCATTCTCTTAGGCACACACCGAGAAGTCGACCCGCCCCCTGGCTCTGCAGAGAGCGGCTCCGATGTGCATTGGCTACTAGAGCCGAAAAAGGTGCACCTTACGAGGTGAGAAACTGGGTCCGGAGGTCCCAGCCCCACCCCGGTGTAAGGGCAGAAATGGAAAAACCTACCTTCCTGACCACTCAACTTTCTAAAGCTCCGCGCCTCTGCTTGCCTCTCAGAGCCAAAAAGAAGGGATGGGGAAACGGGGGGGGAAAGTCTCTCTCCTCCCGGGCTCCTCTCTCCAAGCCTCAGACTGCAGCCTAAGACTCGGGAGAGGTGCCTCCGCTGGTCCTCTCGCCTGGGAGAGGAAGAGGAGACTGAGGCTAGGCGAGATGGGGTGGAGAGGTTCTGCAAAGTTGCGCGCCCGGACTTCTGCCGGGCATGTGCAGTACGGAGGCGGGGGCGCCTCCCGGCGAGCTCCGCGGCGGCGCCGAGGCCGTGGCGCAGACCCTAGTGGGCCGGCAGGTGGCAGGAGGGAACCTTGTTTGAAAGGTTTTGGGCGAAGCGAGAGGCGGGGGCCCTGGCGGGTGCCAAGGAGCGAGTGAACGAGCTACAGGTTAGAGGACTCGGGCAGCTGGGCATGGGTTCTCCTTGGGGTCTGTACCCCTCCCTAACTTCTGCAATGTGATCGATAAAATGAACAAAGCCGGAAGCGGCTCAAACCAGAACGAGAAATTGCAGACATTCGGGAAAATGAGGGTCTGTACACGAGTATTAATGATCCAGCCCTGGGCATTTTCCAAGGGCTTAATAATTTGAGGATGGTAACCTTAGGCAGTCATTAATCAGGGAATCACCTTTGGCAGATCTGTTAGAATGACGGTAATTTGAGAAGTTTTTAAAAAAAATACCCCAGCCCCCAGTCTTAATCGGCTAATTACCTCACTGACAAATAAGCTTCTTCCTTAAGACTGTCCCTGGCAGAACGGGTGATGGTTGGCGCGTCTGTAGGCCCATGGGTGAACTGCCAGGAGCTCTAGCCGACAACATGTGCTAGAAGACAGACTTTAATTAGCTGGAACCACCACCTAAGGGCAGTATTTCCTGCACTGATATGCAGTAGGTACAACCAGTTAGCTTTCTGCCCCTGGGGGGTGCTCCGGGTGGCCAGCCAGCAAGGGAACCTCATGGGTACCTCTTAAAGCTCTTTTATAGGTAGGTTTTCAACAAAATTAATTCCTTGAACAAATATTCATTGAGCGCCTAGCACATGCCAAGCTCTGTTCTAGGTGCTGAAGGTAGAGTGAAAAAAAAAAAAAAAAGAAAAAAAATCTATCTTCCAGTGAGGACGGGATGCTTAGGATTAATCTGTGAATCAGAGCGTGGAGCCATTCAGAACCCCGCTACCCACCACCATTGTTTATCCCAGCTTGAATTCTACATGAGAAAACTATTGGATCAACCAGAGCTTTGGGGCTAGGGGACAGCTGGGCACCCCAAGATCATGTTGAACCCCAAAGGCTAAGAAGTTGGAGGGAGACAGCCCTGGAAAATCACAGGGGCTCCATGTCCTCCTGGAGGGCACCCTGGAGTGACCCTTGCTCAGGAAAGCATGGGCCTTTGGACGCTCTGGAGTTCCATCTGTAACCTGCCTGCTGCTTTGGGGCTGTGCCTGCCCGCCCTGCTAAAAATACGGAGTGCCCCATTAGCCACAGTGACAAGTCCAAAGGTGGCATAACTCAAAGCAAAACCATCTTCCTAGAGTCCTTGGAAGAGTCAGCAAGGCCGCTTCACTTGGGACCGTGGTTTTTTTGTCTTTGAGTCACCATGGAGGACACTTGGAGAGGTGCACCTCCTCTATTTCTGTGTTCCCTTTGAGGTGGCCCACCTGGCAGTCCCTCCCAGGATTCCTTCCTGGTGGCTGAAGAGTCACACCCCCACAGCTGGTACCCAGTGTGGTGGGACTGTCCTCATAGCTTAACAGTGTGCCCACATGGAGGCTATCAAACCCAGCGTAAGGCCTCAGTAAGATTCTAGCAACCGCTTTTGAGGCGCGGAGGTTTTGTATCTGCAGCTTGCCCGTGTCTACCTTACGTCTTGCATTCTTCTAGTTTGTTGCATTAAAATACTGATTGGTCTAATAAAGTGGGGTTGGTTTGGCAAACCCCCGAAAAGGACAATGTTTGTATTGTGGCTGTGGCTTCCTCTAATACATTTCAGACAAACTGAAAGGGTTTTATGTTCACAAGTGCCGGGATGGCTCTAGTCCTCACGTGGGGATTATTATGGGACACTGGACAGGGGCGTTTGGAGCTGTGTATCTCAAATCCTGTTCACTCTGTCCGATGGGGGGCGTTGCTAAAGGTTCTGCTCACAGTGACCCACCTGCTTCCTTTCTTTCAATGAGCACAGCCCCATTGGCAGTGTATGGAGCAAAAAGACATCCTTCAGGGGGTTTTCAGGGCACACTGGGAAAAACCCAGGAACCTGTGGGTGCTGGTGAGTGCCCTTTGAATGGAGACAGGTGCCGGCTGTCAGCACGAGGGGGGCTGTGATTCTTCAGGGCACGTAAGGAAGCACTCCGTTTCCCAGGAGAGGTCGATGCCTATAATGGAGGTGGCAGCCCAAAGCCGACCCACTGATACAGATACACTGAGACTGCCTGTGCTATTAAAACTGTGCATGATATAATGCACACTTTTGAACTAGATTTTGCATTAGTAATGCATGTTCTCTGCATTCTAAGCAGATGAACATCTAATAAGACACTGCATTCTCGACCCCAGTCGTGCACACTTGCAGGTACATCCCAGTGTCCCTCTGACTCGGGCACCAGGAGGAGCAGGGGGACAGTGTTCAGGTACTGTTCATCTCGCGCTCAGAGCCGAGGTCGGGCGATGGATCTGTGCAGAAATGCTCTTTAAAATGCATTACGTGCACGAGTTTAAAAAGTGCTTGCTGCAGAGTGAATTTCAAAAAGGAGCAGACGGGTGATGAACGACCGGGTTGTTACCAGGCTGAGAACAAGGGGCTGTGTGTGTGTGTGTGTGTGTGTGTGTCTGCTGCTGCACAGTGTGGACGCAGATCACCTACAGGGCTGGGGGGAGGCTGGGAGGGGGCTGCAACCTGTTGGACAGGAAAGCGCAGATTCCAGTTCATTCCAGGGTCAGCAGTAAGGTTCTCGTTTGGATGGATCTGAAGTGCACTGTCTTTCTTCAGCCCCTCAAGGACTGTCCTGTGGCAGACACACTGAGATGTCCTTTATGTGGCTCCGGGGGGGCCACATCGGAACCTACGGGTGGTAGTTACAAACGGCAGATTTCGGCTCAGCCCAGGGAAGACGATGGTAACAATTAGAGCTCTGAAACGGATGGCTGTCAGGAGGTGGTTGGCTCCCGGTCAGAAGCGGTGTTAAATCAAAGGACAGATGACCACATATTGGAGATGTTTTCCACGGGACTCATGAGCCGGGAGAGTGGGGGTTTGGAACCCGATGCCTGCCAGGGCTCGTTTCAACTCCGATTTCGAACCCAGGGAGGGCGTGAGGAGG